TGATGAAGGCCTTGCTCCTACAAAGAATTCATCAGGACTGCGTAGGTTTGGAATATTGCGAAAATTGTCGGATGAGACGAGTAAGTACTCGAGTTGAAAATTAAAACTCACCACTAGAATCCGTACCACACGCGGATCCCAATTCCGGAACGGAAACCTACGACTAAGCCACCTAAAAGCTTCCTCCCGATCTGGCCAAACGTCCCGCCTAACTTCTGTGGCGCCAACAACCATCTCCATCGCCTTTATTCGTGTATCAAAATGCGCCTCGAACATCTCCCGCGTTATCATTGTTGGCTCGACGAGGACCAGGGATACATATGGTAGGTTGGAGATGGGGAAACATTGTGTGGTTAACACCCTGTCGAGTAGATGATAAGCTTAACAGCTGAAGGAGTTTATCGGACAGCTAAGAATGCGGAAGGAATTCATGTTACCAAGATAGAAAGAGGATACGAGACGGTGTAACAAGAAATTAGCGATCATTACTTACACTGTTCCGCAACCAGCAGAGTGTCCAATAGGAACAATCCGATGCCCAGCCATACGAGGGGATCGCACAAAATCAAGTATTGCCGGCGCCCATTCGTAGATGGCTGTGAGAAAAAGAATCGTTAAATTGGCTCTGCAAATCTCAAAGCAATGTTTAGGATGGACTCCAATATACTCACAAACGCCTTCTGGTCGACTCTTCAAAGCCTCCTCATTCACCAACCCCGCATCACCGTGATTCTGCCAATCGAAGGACCATGCTTCCCGTATCTGGTAATGCCTATCCTTCATATTCTGAGTAGAGAATAAACGCTCTATGGTAGGCTCCCAGTGTTCTTTATCTGTTGGATTTTAATTAGAAAAGGGAAGAAGAAAACATAATAGAACGTACGTGCTCCTACACCGTGCGCAAATAATAAGGTAAGTCCGAATGTGTTGTCGCCAGAGAATCCAGACGTGTAGCGCTTAGCTGTCATCTTGAGCCCAGGAGAACAAGGGCCTGATGCATAGTAGTTCTGGGATAAGCTGGCCGAGGATACGAATGAGGAGGAGGCATGTCCTTCCAAGTGTCGTACCTGGGGGGCATCAAACACAAAAGGGGTGACCTGTAGCTTCGGGGCCATTATCAATATAAAATCCCAGATGATTAGCGTGGTTTTGACTATGAGGACCAAGTGAGAGAAGGGATACCGTCAAGAAGTGGTAGTATTTAAGCCGCAGAGAGAGACCTGCGAAAAGCTAAATCTTCCTTAACTATATACGCATTAATATTGATCATTGATCAAAGAACACTCGCCATATTTGATCTAGTATTTTTCCTTTTTCTTCGCAGAATCGAATCGTATGATTCATTTCCCCCAGAGTCATTTTGACAAGATACTATAAGGATATCAGGTAACCATTAACCGTCAGTAGTACTCTAACTTAAATCACCCACGAACTCCATTAATTTCGGACTAGGGCAGTTTCCAGTTTCGGGTCGACGTCAGGGTACTTTGAGATGCGACCGATTAATATCAGCCGAACGAAGAATTAAAGAAAGGTACCACGAATATAATGATCGACTCGGGAAGTTTCCCTACCGCCCTCGCGGCTGGCGTGGAGTAAGAGGAAGTAATGAACTGAGTGATCTAACCAGAGTGAGTGTTAAGGAGAATTACAGTATAAGCGCAGATCAGACGAGCGAGAGCCGCCGATAATTCGAGAAATACGAAACGAAGTTACCCGCTTCTTGCTGCGTGTCATGGGATGCTTTAAGAAGCGTCATCTTCAGAACAATGAGCGTACAGGCACAGTTGAGTCAATATTGTGGGACATGTAAATATGTCCACCAGTGAGCTCCTCGGTTCATGAGTGGAAGAATCTAAGCAGCGATATAATAGAAGGACGGTACCGATAATGAAGGAGTAGCGGTCCGTAGCCTGAACGTCGTTTGGAAGGAGCTCAACGGACCTATCCAACATCCAAACCTATAAATTCGACGTATTCTTCTCATAAAGGAGCTAGCTAACTAGAGCAATCGGAACCGTAAGCTGAACTTCTGAACCTGCCAAAGTCCTTCAGTGGGTACCGCCTATCCTGGACGTGGTGGGATACTGCACTGTACGTTCAACTAAGAAAACGTATAGCATTAGTTAGTACAAACCCCAATCGTAGAATCGTCTCCTGAGAAATGGCAGTAAGACCGCTCGCGGGAGCTAAAAAAGTGATTCGATTCTTCAAAGACGAGAAAAATAGTATAATGAGATGATGCCGGAGGATATTGCACCGGATGGCGTACCTGGCCTTTGTAGAACCTGGAAAGAAAGAAGGACACGGAGATGGAGTGTCGAAGTATAAGGTTTTGGTAACTGGTTAGGCAACGACAGCAGAGGGTAAGTGCGGAAAGTCATAACCAAAGATGGTAACAGACGAAGCTTTGAAGGTAAGGCCACCTAAGTTGACTCGGAGGACAGGACCAATTGACTGGGAGCAAGTACGAAAGAAAGTGTGAGCGAAGTTGACTTGCAGGGTGTAACTTTGACATCTGATAACGGTATGAGATTTCCCTTCATGCGTACCGTTAGTTAGGCGTAGACCTCATCCTAATTCTCTAGTACCCCTCAATCTCCGGCGGTGGAACTTGGCTTTATTCCGAGCTACGCCGCCGAAAACGTCACTGGTTAAGAGTCGAAGAACGTGAATCCGCGAGGAAAGTGCTGAATTTCAGAATCATTAGAAGTTAGAGGACGTATGACTCTTGCGTGAGCCACCGAGTCATCCACTAGAGGGAGTGAAATTCCGCAGACCAGAAGAACAGAGCAGAAGAGGAAGGCTCGGATCTTTGGAGTCCGAGGGATACGAGGATATTTGTATGAAGGAAAGAAACATTCACGAACAAGGGATGGGTAACGAAGAACTCTGTTCGGACCAAACAGTGACCACTGACTTTTGGCATCCCAAGTTTGACATTGGAGCATAATCCAGCCGAGAATTGAGCACCTACCTTCAGCTGACCTTCAAATTATGGATTCTGTTCCTTAGAGAAATTATCGACATTCGATACCAGGCTGATTATTGCACTCGCAGATTGGGATTGGATTTGAAAAGAGAACTAGTATTAAGCGCCTATCTACCGGACCGAAATTACCAAATCTACCACTGAATCAGCGCCCAACTTGACCTCAACCTTTGACGGCTTCTTCGACGAACAAGGAGATGACGCTACCTTCTCTGTCGTCTGGCACCAGAATCTTCCCATTACACGATGAATACCATGTGCTGCTCAATTCTTGGTAGAGTGGAGGGAATTCCAAACTTCGGAATGCTTGCAAGGCTTTACAGGTATTTCTCATTGTAATTCCCGGTGATCCACGTAAAATATCATCGCCTTTACAGATTTCGGTGCCTCTCCTTGAACTGCGACAGATTTATGGTTTTCCTCATCATTCGTCCGGTCTGTTCTTACTTAGTCAAGTTTTACACCTCGCAGTGGATTTCCTTAAGTCGCTCGCGGAGCCCGCCACACTTGCTGGGTTCCTAGGTGATAAAGGATTTGGTTCCAGAGATGCGACGTCCGTCGCGGTATGCCTTTGTGACACTCGTGATCCCCATCAAGTAGGCGGTGCATCCCAATACTTATTTCAACACCTTGGAGGGCTCTTGTCAACAGCCTATCACTTATACTTGTGCTATGGTACGTATTCTCATTTAAAAAGAATCCTTGAACAAGGTGGTCCCCCACTACTTTATCCCACGGACGAGTCCCCTTCCATCAAATTTGGTCAAGGTGACCTTGTAGTGACCGAATCTCGAGGTTACGTGCGTAACGGGAGCTTTGAGGGGATACCGGGGACTTCTGCTCCAGTGCCAGCTGAACTACGCCAAATGGTAGGATACTTCTCTTCCGGTGACTTGGATGCTTCCATCTTCAACTATACACCTTGCGAACGTAGCGGGCATTCTGTTGGGCTCCTGGGCTTGGGCGACGGTGGCGACTTTTACGAACGCTTGCCCGACCCAACCCTACCAACAGAGGAGGGTAAAAGCTACACTCTTCCATTTGAAGAAGTGCCATGTTTCCACTTTCAGCTTGATCGCCGGGCCCACAGTGACCTTCATTTTCTTCTTATTTTAGCTAATTTATTGTTTCAGTTTGTATCTATCAGCAAGGACTCGAAGGCACCCTACAATCGTCAATTGATGCCTGTAGGTCGCTCGTGTCAGAATTCAACGATTGAGGTAGACCGGTAGAAAGTAAAGTCGACAGACGTACTGAAGGCGCAAAGACGCAAAACCCATATGAAACAGATCCTGACCGTCCCAACCTTTTATTCTTCTCCGGCTCCTCACAGTCTTTCTTTCTTATACCAACTCCAATATCACATACAGGTCTAGGACTAGTAGTAGAATATTCGTACACTGTCAACATCTGCACCAGAGAAGACATGGGCAGAGCCACGGTGGTCCCAGTAGGAATATGGAATCCCCTCGATCCCAATCCCATGATTTGCCGCAGTTCATTGCACCTCTGGATGCTGAAACTAAGAAGGGCCCGCCTCTCCCTTGCTCATACAGTTATTGGCCACCTCCGTCTATATTAAATACTATAGCCAGGCCTATATTGATTCGAGGCAAACGAGGATGCACGATGTCAGAGACGCAGAGGGATGGGACCGAGCAGAAATAAAAGTTGGGGTGGAGATTGCTTGAAAAGGCAGGAAGAGAACGGAGCTCATGGCGCTGCTGCTGCCACGGGGAAATACTAGCTCGGAGGGCGGCCATAAACAGGGAATCAAAGAGACGGAAGGAAATACAGTTTCGAAATTTGAAGCATCTTACTTAAGTTGTGAGATACTTAGTATGAACCTTGAGCTTAAGCTAAGAATAGGAAATGAGAATAGCGCGATTGTAGTAGTCTGTCGGAGGCGCTGAGCACGTTCCGAATCCATTCCCAACCAATTAAAGGTTGAGATAGAGTAATTTGATTCCGTGATACTGACGAAGCATGAAGATAGCGAACTAATCATTCCGATATGGTGTAGTGGCTAACATTATCGCCTCTCATGTCCAAAATGGATCGCATCTGCAGCGCGATAGCCTGGGGTTCAATTCCCCGTGTCGGAATACAAGATTTTTGAGCTGCCAACCGATTTTTTTTTTGGCCCGATTGGAACCAACACTAGACCCCGGCCGACGATTTGACTTTCATCCGTCGGATACGCTCTTAAAGATCAGCTCTTGTTTTCAACCTGACCATCTTAGACGTTGGATGATCTCGAAATTATTAATGGTTGCCGTGAATACATCATCAGCCTGTTAAAGCCGAGGCTACCAGTACTACTTCTTCTCGAACTTTCCATCCTTCAACACACCTCTATGCTTCTCATGTTTTCTCCTTCTCTAACCGCATTGGCTCAGCCGTTGTGCTTGAATGCACCGAATTGCAGATACTATTCCGGTGGTATGGATGCAAGAAAATCCTGAGCGAAGAATAAAGACAGAGAGTTGAGTGGCCAGGGCCCAGTACGTTCTATTCAGTGATTGAAAAACTAGTAGTAGTATCTTATTACTTTCACTTTCACTCTAGTGAGGGACCTCTAGCGGCTGTTAATCCGCATTGCTTCATCGATGCAACAAGCGAGTCACTCACTCGCGCTCTGGCGGACATGCACATCTCCTTCGTCATAGAGCGAAAACAGGCTGGAAAGAAAGCATGATGCTAAATTGGACTCCTTTCTTTTCTGCCACTTGCAGTCTCGATATCGGAGGACATCGCCTCCTTCAACACACTTTCCTTTGCGCCATGGTTCCATTTCGCGAAATCCGGATCTGGTTTGTTGGGCGAAGAGCGTATGATTTTCTAGGGTGGTACGTCCGTCATTCCCGATCTCATACGACGGATATTCTTATAATCTACTCTAGAACTACCACCGAGAATGGACTCAACTCGAACGCACCACAGTCCTGTAATGAATGATCCCATGTCCTGGGTCGTTCGACTTACGTTTCATCAACACTGTTCGAGGCTCAGGCTCAATTGCTCACTCCTCTGAAGCCAATTGACATGTCATGCTGTACTGAGAGCACGCTGCCATCGCCATGCATATGGTTTAGGGACAGACGCGTTACGGTTAGCCCCAACTCCTCATGTTGCAATCGAGATTTCGACCCTCAAATCAGAGACTTCGCTAGAGCCTCTACAACTTGTCGGAAGATGCGAGGGAGGAGATACGGCGTATGACTTTTTCCCTCGGAAACAGCTGGTAGATCTGCTCTATCGGAATCGATTCTAACTTTGCGATTCATAAATGCCGACGTCCTATCTTTACAGGCTACAAGCTGCTACCATCTTTCGGGAGCGCCTAACTTCAAGGAATGCCTTTAAACTTGCATTTCGGAGCCTCAGTTACCCGGCGTGACGCGTATTATCCTCCTCTATACCACGAAATATAATGCTTGCAGTTTCATTGGAGGTTTACGATTATAGTTCCTGCTTCCGATGAGACGCTTGTCGAGAAGCCTGAGTGCAAGAAGAAGACATTTAGGCCCTCGGCTTAGAGATAGGATGAATCATAGGAATTGGATTATTCATCCCATCTCGCCTTCCGCTCAGCGTTCAACCCCAGAACCTCCTTTGTTTTTCCGAAACGCGGAACATATCTCCTTTGCGGCCATCTAAAGTCCACCTCCCAAACCTCCGCTACCCGAGGCTCGCAAGTTCTCATTGGCTTTTGCTCGAGTTTCTTTTGCTTCAGAGGACAGGGAAGGGAGCGGAGCCTGAGATTGCAGATGTGGCGTGGAGGGTGGGAAATATGGGATGAAAAGGTTAGGAACGGAGGAGGAATGTATAGGAATTTGAAGGGAGAACGGATATAATTTTGTGCGAAATTTTCATGTAGCTGGTACATTCGATTCAGTAATTGAGAAACTCGCATCTTGTTCACTTTTTCTCCAGTGAATGCGATTTCGAATCCGGCCTCGCTATCTGAAGCCTCGATGTTTGGCTATGGATATTGATACCCTCCGCCTGCTCCGCCTCTGCCCTCCGAGTTCGATATCTTTAGAACCTCAACGCAACCGCATACGCCCTTATTCTTATTTCTATCTCTTCTAATGGTTCGAGTCGGAGATGCAGGATGCATTTCCCCAATGGTAATCAGTGCAAATATCGTTCCTAGTAGAAGAACCTTTTCAGCATGAAAACAGTCCCTCCTCACACTATTCGAGACAAACTTGAAAATGTTGCTGTGTTTTTGTTCGAGTTTGACACTCGACCGCTCATCGGTTTTTGACAAGTTAAAGTCCATGCTGGCCTGAGTCGACATTGGCAGATGAGATGAGCAGTTTCTGAGACATGTATCCGCAATGTTTACTGTTAGATTTTTAGGGGATGCGTATATCGAGAACCATTTCAACGGAGCCCATAGTTCGCCGAAAGCTTCAAGTTTGACGGTTGGAAGGTTCGCGAACCTACCCTCCCTGTTACTCCTGTATGCAGGCCAGGATATCGACCCCTTCGAGCCTGAATGTATTGCTCGTTACAGTGCTGACCCGGAGGTTCGAATTCATCAAGAACTTGACAATCCTCTCTCGCATTCCAACAATCTCCATCCAGAGCTATCCGCAAAAATTCTACAGATGTTGGTAAGTTTCTCCGCGTCCGTAGCCTGAAATTTGCTTCGTCGTCCGCATATGTAGTACAAACCGACAATGTCGGAGAACTTGCATTGGATGAACGGAATGAAACCGTGAATGTAATCAAAGCTTCCACAACATCAACATTCTCCAAATACATGCGGAGTTTTAGTGGCCTAGTTCGAGTAAACTAGTACTCTCTTTGATAGAGAGACTACGAAGAAGACGCTGAAATAGTTGAATTCATGGTTAATGTCCTGGACCTTGAAAACTCTTGGATTATCTGGGAAAAGGTATGAAAGATAGAATCGAAAGCAGTCATCTCAAGATTTGCAGTGCATTTCATTGGATTGGTTCCGTCGCAGGGGATTTCCCTGACGCTGTATGTATTAAACTTCATTCTACTGTAGAACAGTTGATAACTTCAACGAACGTTTGGGGGGTTAATTGTTGTCTATCACCCTGCTGGTATAATCCTCATTGTTGAATGGTCGCTACTTTGGCTTCCCCAATTGGTCGAATTCGCTGGCCCTGACACTGATAACTGAGCACGGGCCCAGCCCTTGATATTAAAATTCGTAAGTGCCATGTTCAATTGCGTCTTGGCGTTTGCAAAACGGATCTTTTCAATTCTTCGATCCCTGATGAATCTCAGTAAGTTCTTGAGTGGGTAACCTTCGCTCACCCAATGATGAGCGTAGGAAAATCTTCGACGCGTCGAGTGAGCTGGGCGTCTAAAATTCTTTTTGCTCACCTTTCACGCCGTAGGAGCGCACTGACGGGCTGTTCAAATGCGAGTTAACTAAATGGTATAAGTAGGTCACGGTTAGTGCCTGTCAGACTGGGGCTCTCAGCCTGCTCACACTGGTCTAATCTATTTTCTTTTGGAACGCTGCAGTGAAAACTAAGTTAAATGAACTACATTTTCGGATATACCCATACAGAACCCGAGAAACCCCTGTGGACCTGGAATAGCGCACTTTAGGAACCCGACTTTGGCAAAATTGTCTAGAAGTACCCCTAAATCGCGTATTTTATTCCTTAAAAATCTCATCCAGGGCCTCTTCCGTTTATCGTCTGTTCAACATACCGCATTTTGAGCAGCCGAACAAGAAAAAATTCGTCACTAGACCACCCTCCCCCCGTAGAATGTCGTCTTAGAACGTGTATATTCCTTAACAGGACTAAGTTAAGGAGCCTAAAATTCTTTTGGAAGTCTTGGCGAATTTTAGAGATTTTTTTCTTTCTTTTGCTTTCAGGCGAGCGATACTTGAAAAAGCGTATTTTAGGCCGAGATTGTAGCGTATCTGGTAAACTCAAACAATTTGCTAACCCCGCTAAACCCATTTATCCACAGATACTAGTGGCTATGGATGCTGAACAAAGGGGTCGTTTAGAATTCAAGCCTGAGTTCCGATTACGCGGAGATTCTCATTATGGTAGACCATGAAACCGTTTAAATAATATAAGTAATGTAAGTGTCCTTATCTCTTTCACCCTACTCCCACCATGGCCCAATCTGGTTTACCTGACTATCTCTTGGACCCCAATGCTGTACTCAAAGACCAGGTCAAGTGGCGATACGGTGGGTTCATCGATCCACTTTGTCTTAGCTTGAAGACATAATATCATCTTCCATAGACAAAGTACCTGACTACACTCGTCTTCGTGCGGACTACGAGCTGGACAAAAAGGTTGAGCATAAACCTGGGACGTTATCGTTCTATGTGAATAACCTTGTCAAAAAGTATGTCCGATTCCATTCCTGTTGCTAGTACGATTTTTGCTTATTCAAGTGCGTGGACAGCTGGGAAATTGAGGCCTCATACAAGATTGATGGTCGAGAATGGCGTACCATCGACCCAGACCTCTATAAATTCAAGAGCAATGATGGTCCATGGTTATCCGTCGATGAGATGCTTAAACTTGGGTATATTTCCTGTTTGAATCACCGTTTTTTCCGTCTCAAAATGCATTGGAAGAACGTACAATGCAGTTATTGGTGAAAGCGAATATTACAGCTCAGAAAACTCTAACTTCACAGTTTCACACAAGACGTTCAAGCGTGCGATTCGTAGCTTTGGTTGGGAAGTACTGGAAGTAAGTTGCCCTTCGAGTGTAGTACTTATTCTCCTCGATCACAGACTCACCATGGTGCTAGGTATATTCTGAACTCCCTACTGTTGTCTTTACCTGGCGTCACTTTGGTGTCTTCCACGGAGCCTATAAAGGTATGATCTGATCGCAATGTCTACTTGAGAGATAATTTTTTTACAATCTTTCAATCACAGCATACAATAGAGACGGAAACCAGATTGAATCGCAGCCCACTAACGAATTAGTAATAACTCATGCAATCCATTTTTCTGCCTCATTAACACCCCAAAATAGTTGGATATTACTGGTATGGGGATCGCACACATGACACCAGACCTTCGTATCGCATCCATCCATGTTTACAGGCCAGTTGTTCTTTCAATTTAGTGCAC